TAACAATCAACAAACCAGGAGAGTCTTTAAGGGAAAAAATAATACTTTCAGGGAGTATATATCCATATGCAAACATTCACAGACATGTCTTTATGTGTGTGCAAGGTGTATATATGCATACAGGTTTATATACATACATATGTGTATATGAAACTAGTTTGGAATTTGAAATCATTGCAAATTGATACCAGCCAAGGTCTAGAAAACAATGAGAAATTTCTATGTATAGGATATTTTAAATGATATCTAAAACATTTCATTTTCTTTACTTCCATATTTGGGCATAAGGAAGTGAATATCTTAACTCCAAACTTGCAAAGCAATAAAGAACTTATATATTGCCAGTGAAGAGTACAATGGCTACAATCTCTTTGGCAGGCAACTTGGCAGTGCCTACCAAAATCTTAAAGACATGCTTCAATCCAGCAATCCCACTTGCAGTAATTATAGGCACAAGTACAAAATTATGTACAAGGTTATTCACCACATTGTTTGTAATAGTAAAAAACTAAGAAAAAGTGAGGAGTCTCATCAATAAAGTAGATTTTAATTGCAGCTGGGATATGAAATTGCTTTCCCCCTGCCCTCCTCTATGATTCTGATGTATCAATTATCTTCCTTCGCTCTCAATTGATCTTTCTATTGGATTCTTCTAGGCACACAAACAACCCCAGTCTCTCCCATTTTAAGAGACCTTTCCCTCCATCCTGCCAACTGAAGTTACCCTTTCTCTTTCCTCCCACTACAACCACCTTGAGTAACCTACACTTTCTATTTTCTCCTTTCATGATTCACATTCACTCCTATTATTGGCCTAGCAATTCAGACTGCTCAAACCTACGCCTACAATTTTAGAAAATTCAGTCCTCACTGACATCTCCACACCAGCTGACCCTGCTAACAACTCCTTCCATTCTAAACCTCTCTTGTCCCTTGACTTCCAGAGCCTCTTACCGTTTCTCCTCTCTGCCACCACAGTTACTCTCCCATGCCGTGTTTTTTTCCCTATATACCTTCTGCCTCTCCATTCCAGGCTGCCTCCTGCCCACCCCTCAACCATGGATGCTGCCTCCTTCACTGCTTAGACTCTGACACCCTTGTGCCTGGCACCCTTCCCTGGGGAGGCCCTCATCACTTGGTTCAGAATGCCCTTCACACTGCTGGAGCCCTGACTCTGCACCAGGCTTTCCCCACGTGGATATACTCTCCTAACCTTGCTCAGGTCATATACCTGCCCCAGCCCCACTCTACCCCACCCTGTGGATGCTTACTTTGCCCTGCCCTATGTAGTAGCTTTAGAACATAATTGCAGAAAAGAAAGAGAAAGGGTAGATAATGCAATACTATGCCTTAATAATTACAGCTTTACAGTCAGTCTTGATGTCCAGTAGGGCAAGTTCTTGTACTTATTAATCTTCAGTACTTACCTGGGTTATTCTTGGCCTTTTGTTCTTCAGTTCTTCCTTTATTTGAAGCTCATTCATGAACATAATTCAGTTGGAGGAACAATCCTACTTTAACACTTTTGCCCATTTCCAGCCTTAGCACTTTCATAATCCATTTTTATAGAACAGCTTTGGTCATTTAACATAATCACTTTTACCAATTTCACAAGAAGGCCCCCCCCAAGTCAGAAATTTCTGTTAATGATGCAACATAAAACTTCTTTGCGTTCTCTGCCTTGAAATGATCTCTGAACTAGATTTGAGGACCATTAATAGGGTATCAGGTGAGGTGTCATGTAAGCTGTTGAATTTAGACTGGCTTTGAAAGAGGGCCTTTCTACTGGTGGTAACCTAAGCAGGATACAAATGTATATGTGGGAAAACTATAAAGAAAAGCAATTGGATTCAGAAGTTTAAGTTCAGGAAGGGGCCAAAGTTGGAAATTCAAATTTGTAAACATCGATGTATGGATGGAATATACAGACATGGAACTTAACTACCTAGCTTAAGTAGAGGGGAGGGCTGAGCTTTAAGCCTTGGGGAACTTTAACAAGTAGAAGTCCAAAACCAGCAATGGAAAAGGAGAGCAAGGAAAACCAGTGTGCGTGAGAGCAGAAGTGAGCAAGAGTGAGAGCAGAGGGGGAGAGAGGTGGGGGAGAACCAGGGTGGTGGGGTGGGCGGGGGGCGGGGAGTGTCCTGGGAGCAAAGTGAAGAAAGCATTTCAGGAAGTAGAAAGTATTCAGATGTGTCAAATGCTGCTACAAGGCAGGCTGGGAATGATAATTTTCCATTACATTTACAAAGTTGGATGTTTTGGATAACTGTGACAAAAGTATGTTGGTGCAGTAGGTAGGAATCAAGGTCTCAGAGGAACAGGATGAAGACAAAACAACCACTCCTCAAACATGCCCAAGTGCGTCCCCACCTCAAGGCCTTCACAGATGCTACCTGATCATCCTGAAACACATCTTCTAGACTTCTCCATGCACCTGTGCATCCCTCCTGTTAGGGTGTAAGTCCCCTCCTCTGAGGGCCTTCCTTCACAGCGCTGAAATAAACATCCCTCCTCCTAGTTACTCTCCAGCCCTTTTCCAGGGCCTTTTCAAACAGTACACAATAATGCTTGAAATTCTACTGTTTCACTTATTTGTTATTCACCCCACAAGAACACGAGAAATGAAGAAATAATATGCACAGATACTTCATTTTAAGGACAACTTGTACATTTTTCTAGGTGTATCACTCCTGGCAGATTTTCCAGTACCTGAAGAAAGAACCTCATTCACTACGACTCTCTCAGAGTGGGATATCCGCAACAGAGCAACAGCGAAGGTCCACATCTCTGCAGTCACTGGTGAGTCCCCTTTTCTGCCACTCTTATGCCACAGAGTTTCCTACAGTTTTGTTTCCTTGGTTATAACTCATCATGTGGTTTTCTCACATAACATTTTCACCTTAATCTTACTTCACAGAAAAATTGTGCACATTAGTTTTATTTCTAAAATATTTCAAATTAAAAAAATTTTATTTTTAATTAAAGTACAGCTGATGTATAATATATTAATTTCAGGTGTACAACATAGTGATTGGCCCAAAATTAATATTAACTATAATTCTCACCTTCAATTCTTTCAAAACAAAGACAAAGCATGCCCTAAATATAGCTAGGTCATCTCCAAAGTTCTGAGAGAAATGAAAATTACATAATACTTTAGAGACAGTCTAAGGCAGTTCCTGTCACACATGGACACCAAGACTAGTGGTCCGTGTGACAGTCCGCAAATGGGCTCTAAACCTCAATCCCCAGACTTTTGTAAAGTTAGAGAACAACATCTGGTTAATAACAAGGGCTTAGGTAAATAATAAACAAATATATTACACTTGCTTTACATACTAGACTTTTACCATTTTTTAATGTACCACTCTGTTCCTGGAAATCTTTATCTGATAGGCTTTTATCTCATTTAGTGCTTCCATGTCCAGAGTAAAGAGAGGGAGAGGATTTTACTTTAGAAATTTCTCTAGGAAATACTTGCCTTAGTATATCTAGGAAGGACCCAAAAAACTCCTATGCTTAAATCCGTATTAATAATCTTGTTAATCAGTTTATAAATTGCCAGTTAAGTTCTGTCACAACATGTCACTGGGTTAAGATAATTATAATAATCTTCTCTTTAAGGTGCCTTTCTGGATAGTAAGTAAAATATAGTTACTATGTGGCAGACATTTTTGATGTACTAAAAGCATCCCTCCTACTTAATTTTGTTTTGGGAAAGGGACTCAGCAAGTATGCGACTGAGAGGGATGGGTGTTTTGGAACATCTATTAAACCTATAGACAGGCTAAAAAGCCAGTGTGGGTATCGCTGTGGACTGACACTGAGAAGCTGTATGATTAGCTTCTAATAAACCGAGCAACAAGGAAAAGAGAAGGGGGAGAGGTGAGATTAGTCTTACAGCTAAAATACTTTTCAGTAGGGGGAAAGCTATCAAATATTTATTGACTGTTTACTGTTTTGAGCACATTTCAATGGTCAGTGGAATGATTCCAAATGCTTCTACCTACTAGAACTGAGGGAGAGACCATTTATATTATCCTAAGAGTTTTAACATCTAAAACAAATAATTCATTCAATAAACATGCTCCAAGTGGCAAGTGCTAGGCACTTTTCTAAATACTAGGCATACAGCAGCAAACAAATCACATGGACTTTATGTTCTTTGTAGAGATAAAGAGATAAAATAAGTAAGTAAATGACTTAATATTTTAGAAGTATCTTAAGAACCTAGACCATGATAAAAGTACTTTGCAGAAAAGAACAAGAAAAGGAGATAAAATGCAAGTAACTCATTTGTATTCATTGTAGGTGGCTTGTTCATTTTATGAGAGACTGTATAATGTAACAGTTCTTTTATAATCAACATTATAACTTTAATTTTTTTTAAACACTAACATTTAAAAAAAATCACCTCCAATCTTGGAGTACATTATTGATTATATTTATAACTTACTTGATGACAAGTTCTTGGTCAAGAATATTACCTATAATGAACTAGCACCAGGCCTTTTTAGCTAAACACAATGCATTTTTGGGTGTTACTTTATGAAGAATTTTGAGGAAGGAACCCATTTTCTCTTCTTTCAAAAAAGTGAAGCCCCACTAAATTGTGAAGCTTCCAGCAGTGAACCAAGGATTTAAAGTGGCAATGATTTTCAATTCTAAAAAACAATTAGGTTCACTAGTCACCCCATCCTAAATTCAAATAATGTAGCCTAAATCAAATAGAAATTTGGTCGTTAGTGCCACTAATGTTAATCAAGATGTAATAATGCTTAACTATGTTTTTCTACATAACTTGAAAGAGAACAGAAAATAATTAAAACTCTTTGGGAACAGCTCATTTCCAATTTTTAAAAAGCCATTAGTTTCACCAACCAAAATGTACACCATTTCATTTTATTACACCATTTTTGTTTTAGTTGTCTAGTATACTCCAATTTGGAAAAGAAAGCTTATGATATGTAAACTGAAGATTTCAGCAGAGTAAAGCTTACCTTCAGGCTGGTGTGAGAACGTGGTTGACTTAATTCCTGAAATTTCCATTGTTCTGATCCTGGAGTCTCTCCGCCTTTCTGAGTGTCAGGAGTAAGCAATCCCTCTCCAGCAGGTAATGGGAAAATCCCTAATGATATAGGGCGTTCTTTTCTATTTGCAGAGGGGGGGAAAAAAGCATTCATTCATTTTTTAATTTTTATTCATCATGATAATAAGTAATAAGCCTGGGGTGTCATTGCTTTAGAATCATCACTCTTAAATAATACTTCTGGTTAGTCTGAAGTAGACTTACCAAATAGGATAGAGTCTCAGAAGTTTAAATGAGCCCCAAGAAATAAACTTTAAAAAGTAGTAAGAAATAATTTAGGAAATTTTCTAAGTTACTGATGAGTTCACTGCCCAGGAAAGCAATCTGTGCTCTGGTTTCACAGTGAGAAGAGCTGCTAAATTTCAGTCATGCTTAAGTTAGCTGCAACCTCCTCTTTTGGAAGTGACTCCAACCCCTGCTTCTAAACCTCCCCAGTCCTCACACTAATTCTTAGATGTTTACCCAAACCTCTTCAGGGTATGTCTTTTCTGCCTTGTGGAAAATCAATATATGATCTAAATCAGGGCTACTGATTAAATGGTAAAAAGAACTCAAAAGTTTTATCCCCTAAAGCATAAAAGCTATTTTCTTCTACAAAAACAGTATATGAGTTCCTTTCAATCACAAGTACACATGAGAAAACCACTGTCAACTTTTCTAAACAAGGAGGCAAATAAATTCTATGAGAAGACTGTAGAGTTTTCAATGCTTTGTGGGAAATTTCAATGAACAAGAGTTACAACTTTAATAATAGAATTTCAACAAGAAACATATCCTTTGTTAATGCACAGAAGATTCTAAATCAAAGGGCTCTTAGAGGCTGGAAATAAGCCTACTAATAGGTCATCCTGGGTCACTAACTCAGAAGAGTGCAAACTAACAAGACACTAAAGGTCTGAGGCCTCCTAGAACTCATACTTCTACTGATAAGAGTGTAAGTTAGATTCAAACACTAAACACTTATAAACAGAAGTGAGAAAATATTCAGTTTGCTGCATAAATCTTTTATTCTGTAAGCTCATTTTTATGCCAAGAAACTTAAGCCACTTTTGAAATGTGCCCTCACTTAGCACAAAGGGTACACTCTTCCATTCCTAACGACAACCAGAAAGGACCAGTAAAACTGTCAGAACAGTTTGAGTGCAGAAAAGATTCAAAGACTGGGTTGAGAAATTCTATCTTATTAAAGTTATATGCACAAGGAAATAAAACAGGACTTTTCTCTGTAAGTTAAAGCTAATTACTCACTTCTTTACACTTGGGGGTGCTTTTCCTATTTGATTTTGGAGGAAAATTCAAACTTAGGTAGGCAGCATAATAAAAGGCTAGGTTTTAATATCAAATTTAAGTTTGTGTAAATTAATCAGTCAGCTATTCCCTTTATAGCCATTATTCCTAAATGCTGGTTTAGCGATAGTTTTCATTTATGTGTATGCTGAGAAGAGGCATTATTATATCCTTGTTGGGTAATATAGTACATATTGTATACATACACATTTCATATATGAATGTTTTTTCTTGAAAATGACTTACCCTTGTACATCTTTTCTGCTTCTTTAAATTTAAAATGCCTGTTCTCTCATCAAATGATGTTGGTAGTGATTGGAAAGTGAATGTCTTTTAATGCCACACTTGACAAAATAAGAAATTGTTAACCAGATGTGTGTGTGTGTGTGTCTGTGTGCATGTGTGTGTGATAAACATATATATTTATAACCTCAATTTTGGGGGAATGTATGTTGGGAAACAAAAATCTGTGGGTCTAAGAGCTACTAGGTGACTTACTTATTTTTTAATTTATCTTAATGACTAAAGCAAAAAAAGTGACTGTGAATTTAATTAATCAGGTAAGACTTTAGTGGAAAGCTCTCTAACCCATAATGCAAAGACAACCAGAAAGGTGACTCAGACTTCCTGAGAATCCATCACACTGCTAGCAGAAATCAAAATATAGGCCAGTCATTTTCATCCTGTACTAATGACAACACACTCATTTTCACACATATCAGATACCAAAAAAGTACAAAAGTATCTGGGGAAGGGGCCTCCTGTGGATCCAAGTTTTACTTTTCTACTTCTGTTAACTATGTCTACAACCCAAAATAGAAGTAGAATCCACACCCCCTTACATTCTTTCTTACTAATCATTTAGAAACTGCTCTATAGAGAGGGAACTTTTCTTCAGAGACTGGTAGCTAGCTGTCAAGAGGGTCAGCGATGCTCTGAGTTACACTGTTCTAACTTCTGGAAAAATAGTATTATTACATATTTCTCTCCTTTTTGAGCTGATAGATTATGTAAGAGTTTGGGGAGAGAAATGGACATGTAATTATGCAAGTCCACTGAAACATACTTCTGAAAAGAAACCCTGAAAGGGGAACATCAGTGCTGCATGATGCTGGTATGTATATTTAGTACTCTATGAATTAAATGCTTCAGTAAAACACATCAAAAACCAAAGAGTGGGACATGTGGAAAATATCAAATGACAGGTTTAAACCCCAGATGTTGCAATATGCTATTACTGTCTAGAAACAAAGTTATCCTCAATTATCAGAATCCTTGTTATATTCTTTTTTTTAATTGCTTTAGTTCTATATGTCCTTTTTTAGTTGGGCATTTAAATGTTACCTTACAAACAATTTCGCAAATGTTTTGAAATAGTTTTTGGGCTATCTTCACATTTAAAACAAATAACTGTTTAAAAAAATCTACTATACACACACACAAAGGGCAGTAAAAAAATTTTTTTACATTTGTTCAACACTCACCATGTGCCAAGCACTGAGAGAGGTGATTTATTTACATAATGTCATTTCACTCTCATAAGGAAATAGGGATTATTTTCCCCACTTTTCAGATTAGGGAAATGATGCTCAGAGACTTCAGACACTAGTAACTAGCAGAGATGGGATTCAAAGTCAGACCTGTTCCATTCAAGACCATGTACTTTCCTTGGAACCACCTACATCTTGACAATTTGATCTTAATATTGAAGACTCTGATATTTTTTTTTTGAGAGGGCATCTCTCATATTTATTGATCAAATGGTTGTTAACAACAATAAAATTCTGTATAGGGGACTTAATGCACAATCATTAATCCACCCCAAGCCTAATTCTCGTCAGTCTCTAATCTTCTGAAGCATAATGAACAAGTTCTTACATGGTGAACAAATTCTTACATAGTGAATAAGTTCTTACATGGTGAACAGTACAAGGGCAGTCATCACAGAAACTTTCGGTTTTGATCATGCAATATGACCTATAAACNAGTGGTAGGTAGATGCAAGATAAAGGTAGAAAACATAGTTTAGTGCTATAAGAGGGCAAATGTAGATGATCAGGTGTGTGCCTATAGACTAAGTATTAATCCAAGCTAGACAAGGGCAACAAAACATTCACGGATGCAGAAGATTTCTCTCAAAACAGGGGGGGTGAGGTTCTAAGCCTCACCTCTGTTGATCCCCAATTTCTCACCTGATGGCCCCCCTGTGACTGTGCCTGTCTTAGGTTGTTCCTCCCTTGAGGAATCTTACCTGTCTCTGGCTAACCAGTCATCTTCCGAAGACTTTGATATTTTTATTTAGTCAAATCAAAAGCCATTTTTGTTTCAAGGAACTTTCAGAATTTACTCAAGTTATTTTGTCATTAAAATAACAGGAGCTAAAATAGTTCTGCTAAAAATGGGGTACATATAAGTGACTACGAAAATCATTTACTAGTTGAAGATACTCTATGTCCTGCAACTGAATAAATACAAAGAACAATGTCACCTGATTTTTAAGGCCATCCAATAGGGCAAGAACCTCAGAGGGGGAAACTCGGAGCACAGAGAGACTAAGCAATTTGCCAATGGGCCTACAGCTGACATGTGGCCGAGCAGCTGCCCCCACGCAGTCCAGCTCCAAAGCCTCCAACCCACCACGCAGCACTACCTGGCACAGCCTGCCTGCCTTCTCAAACAGAATGGAAACCAAAGACAGCCCTTTAAAATTAGTCTTATTAATATTCTACATATTTTTCAGTTAAGGCATTTTTAATTTCCTAAAAGCTTATATAGACATACACACAAATCGTTTACATACTAAGATATGCACAAGTAGTAAGATTGTTTCTAATTTTTATAAAATCAGGAAAAAAAAAATCAATGACCAATATCTAGTTTTAAATCACAGATGAAATTTAATTTCTGGGTCTTAAACTAATGTTAGACACGAATGATCTATGGATAAAAAGGAACAATTTACTACTTTAATTCATCTTAATTTATCTAAATCCACAACAAGGAACTGAGTACTTCAAGTAAATGTTCAAATAATAAAAGCTATACACCATGAACCCTCACTTAAAACCATGTACAAAGCAGAAACCTGAACAAATCTGACAGTTTTAATTTGACGAGTTAGAAAACAAATGAAACCAAAACCTTAAGCTTCTAAAATGCAGAAGATGGCTCTTGCAGGGTGCAAGTAGAGTGAACAGCAGAAGAGCTACAGAGATTAATTACTACCCCCACAAGCAAGCATGGATATTTGTCACCCAAGTCTACAAAGAGAGGGCAACATCTGACAAAACAATAGTGAATAGGCTTTGTAAAGCCTTCACAACTTTGATGTGTAAATAACAGGGAAAAAATGCACTCCTTGCCCTAAAGCCTTTAAGCTTTAAATCCTTTCACTTTAAAATATATTTTCTTTCAGGAGAAAAATATTTATATATGCCAGTTCCTATGAGCTGCTAATAAAAACTGCAAAAATCGCAAAAATGATGCCTGAACCTCCAATCCAGAGGTAAGTTAAATAAAATGAACGCCTATGGTCTGTATCTAATCCACTACAATTCCAGCATGAAAGATATTTGCCCCTAAATGCTCAGAAGCTAAATGCAGAGGTTGTATGAACTTGGCCCTGGTGCTCTACTCTTGCTGCCCCCCCCTTTACTCTTTGAGCATTCTGCTTAAAATAAGACCACCCTGACCTTGTACTTGTGTATAAGTACAATATGAAAAGCCTTTTCTTAAGTAGGTGGTTTCCAAACATAAAGCCGTATCCATAAGTGAAGGCCTAGAAATTACTAAAAATAAGAACAGAAATCCCAGCTTCAGGCCATTTTCCATTGTTTCAAACTGCAACAGAAATGGTTACAAAGCAGACCCATGAAGTTAAAAATTTGAGAAAAGCCAAGTAAACGGGGACGTCTAAGACAGACTGGATGGAGTACCTGAGTATCCTTGGTAGGTTCTGCGTCAGAGCCGGCACACCGGTAGAAATAGAAAAGTGCACAAGCAGCAAAACAGAGAGAGATACTAAGATAGCAGAATTAATGACCACCGCCCCGCCAACAAAGCCAAACACAAACAGCAGCATGCATCCAGGACTCATGGCGCTGTGCTGGCATGGTGAAACGCCCGAACCAGGAGGCCTACACGGGGGCCAAAGGGGTATCTTTGTAATGAGGATCTGTCATTCAGCTGCTGCCACAAAAACAATGCCATCAGCAGCAGCTTTCCACTCCATCCTGCAGCAGCTCTGAAGCGATGACGTCATCCCGCTCTCCGCACCTCAAAACCACAGAGCTGCTGCTGCTCCTAGCATTTATGCAGCAACCAGAGCCACAGCCAGCCTATTAACTCTTTTCCTCTCCACTGAGAATCCTGGCTTAGCTCATTGGCTACAATGCTTAGAGATCTACATAATTTATTCACACTGCTACATCAAAGAGAAGTCTAGCTAACCCTTTCAAACACGCCTGTCTGTAATAAAAAGAAATTTAAACCAATTATACAGGAGAAATGAACAATGTTCAGCTATCCTACAAACTAGAAAAATTTAAACCTAGTATAATAATCTCCAAGAAGTGTTAGAAAACAATCAAAATACCTCGATATGCTGCTTCTAGAAACAGAAACAGACAATTTATTTCAGTTTTTCTCAAGGCAAAATGTATAACAAAGCTTACCTAATTCTACTATGAGCTGTGGACTCTAGTTGATCACCCCCCGAGAGCTGATGAAGTTTTGTTCTTTCTAAGTGTTCCATATAATTATGGATCATCTATTTTGAAGAAAGAAAAAAAAACACACAAAATTTTAAGACTAATACCTGGAATAAAAAAAGCAATAGTGCTTTAGTAAGGAAACCATTTTTATATAGATTTCTTACTTATCAGACTACCCATAGTTCTATGTAGAAGAATTATTAAGGATGAAAAAAAATTTTAATGGCAAAGAAATATGAAAATAAGTTTAAAAAGGACACTGGTGCCCACAAAAGTAGCCAACATGTTGTTCAGCTTGACAGAAAACTCTTTTATAGTATGTGATAATATTAAGTGATAGATTTTTTACATAAGTAACACAATTAGGGTATAGACAGTGGGAAGGAAGTGATAAGAGACTATTGGTTAAAAATAATAGCAGGCATCTGAGAAATCCATTCACTAAGATGGGAAATAACTGAGAAATTCACATGAAACAAGAATAAACCATACCCTTATGTGGTGATCTTTTCCATTTTGCAAAGGATTCAGAGTAAAGATCACAATGTAACTAAGTAATTTAATGAAATACCAACATGTTCCTTTTGTAAGACAGATTTAGTTGGAGGAATGCTAAAATATTTTCTCCTTTGACTACTAATTTATTGGTCTCATTACTTAATATAATCATCGATAGCAATAGCAGCAAATTAAATGAAAAACCAGAGCACTCTGAGTGTTGGATAACAAACCATATGATATACAAGCTGAATATGATATACAAACTTCAAGAACATTAAGTATAAAAACAGCCAAGAAATTCTTAAGTCCTGTTTGACTCTTGATAACCTTATAGCTCCACTTTAAAGAAGCCTAAATCTGGCATTAAAACATGTAAAATGCAACACATTTCAATCATGAAATCAAAAAGCCTTTGCTAGACACTAACATGATACAAATTAAGAATAAAATGAATTTTTAAAATAAGAAAAGTTATATTAGCAATTTTTAAAAATGTAAATATTAAGAGTAGGCAAGAAAAGACTGGTGTCTTTCTTAAGAATAGTCCTTGAATTCTTAAAACTATAGTATGGGATAGCTTTGGAACTTTTTAATCTTTAGCTGTATGAAGATGGGTTTCAATCTCAATATAACTTCATGCATTGTAGCATATTAAAAGAGTTAACTACTGAAAGAAACAAAATTCTAACTTAAATTTTTAAAGCATGCTTTTGTTGTGAAAATTTTACTTGTTAGGCATATACAAAAATTAAGAAATATATAAATCAACTTCAAAGTCTTATTCACTTCAAATAAACACAAAGCTGAACTCTGATGCAAGAGTTAAGACAAGTAATTCTATCAAATCAAACATTATAAAAGAATTAATCAGGCTATTCCTCAGTTAAGACTAGCCCAAATAAGAAATTCATCAGGCAAATAAAAATGAATATAGAATTGCATAAATATGGTATATTAAAGCATTTTTAAAACTTTTACATTTATATATTTTTTATTTTAAATTTACAGATTTTCTCTTTACCATCATTGAAAGAATAGTTTTGCACTAATACACTTTTTGTCTTTGTGTCAGCAATCAGAAATAATGAGCTGTTTTCTTCTTTTATCAGGAAGAACTTTACGGAAAAAAATTAAAATGAGACTAATTAATGTAACAGAGTGATGACTGGGCCAAAACAGACATCAATTTAAATTTTCAAAAGGTTTTAGAAAACCTAACTTGACTTCTTATATATTGGTCATAAGAAATTGATAGGTTAGAATGGAAAAACTTGTCTCAAGAATTCAGATGAACAGAAACATCATCGCTTAGATTGCTTTTAGTCTATTTACTCAATATAGAAAAATAAAAAGAATTGCAAATAAAATGCCAAGAATCATTCTACCTCCAAATAGTCCATTCTATTGACTAATTGTTGTCTTAAATAAAAAATGTTTTTAATTTAGAAAATAATGAATTCTAAACCTAATTCAAATGACTGATCCCAAGTAATCTCAGATAAGGTATTTAGACATTCAAAATGGTTTATATAATGAAACTGGTTCCAGCCCAACTGAACTAGCATTTAATAGTAGAATTAACAAAATGTCAGCTAACATATTAAACACAAGTCAGCCAGTGCATTTAAAGCCATTGTTTCATTTAATCCTCATAACAGTATTATGATTTTAAACTCCAGATAAGGAGGTTAAAATAACTTGTCCAATTTGACCAGTGAGTTAATAGTCAACTGTGTTCTAACTGCCATTAGCTAGTTGGCTGTGGGGGGAGAAGTCAGGTCTGTCTGACTCAGACATCTGAGCAATTAAGCATTATAGTACTCATGCTGTATCTGCCCTTTCGGTCAATTTTCTAGACAGGCAAAAAGCTCATTGTCCTTTCTTCCTCACACCCACAAGGAAACCCCACACCCTAAAGTATTTCCTGACGTCTGAAAAAAAATATGCACTATATTCCTATTAATGCACAAGAAAGTAGAAAAATAAATTGTACATAAAAATCATAATTTTAATTACAGGGCTTCACAAATGTAGTTCTGTTTAAAAAAAGAAAAAGTGAGTGGGATCAGTGTTGCCAGATGGAAGAGAGATAAGAGAGCAAACGAGACACAGGACATATGTTTTAGATAAACTACTATTGGGTCTGCCAGCCCATTCCTCCTCATTCTCAGAACTGCAATTCTCAATTTTCTCAGGTATGACATTAATTCACACATACTCAGGAATCAGTTCAGCAAACAGGTAGAGTCATGAAGAAAGATCCCAAGTACTCTGTCTGGAAAATCCCAACTCCCCTCCCACTTAGAGAAATCTTCACAGCAGAGGCTGACTGTCAGCTTTGGCTAAAACTGAAAAGCAAAGAAATAGTGAGGCTTTGGAAATTAGTGGCATGGATCCCTTTAACAGTGTTGACCTTAAATCTTTTCATATGCAGCCCAGAATCATATATCTATACTCACAAAGCCACTATTCTTAAAGTTGTTGAGGTGCCATAAAGCAAATAAGAACAGAAAAATAACATAAAAGCATTATTGAAAATTCAGGCAATGGAAGGAATCAGACAAGACCTAGGTTAGGATTCCTTCTAGCACAGGATTTGGGACAAATCACTCCATATTCTCTTTCTAAATTTTAATCTGTAAGATGGGGATGGATGATAAGAGTTTGGTCAGAGGATGAAATGAAAATGCATTTAAACATACCCTGATGTGGGACCAGAGTTCAGGGTTTTTTTTATGTACACATGACCTGAGTACCTCACAATTACTTGGTGTTTCTATTTCCTCCACTACCCTCTTTAAGGCATGTGTTCTTTAAGCAAAGCTCTAATATACATACATACATACATACATACATACATACATACATATATATATATATATTATATATATATATATATAATTTTGGACTTGATTAGAGAATAGTTACATTACTAAAAGAGCAATAGATTTCCTTTTAGCAGCAATCAATGTGTTTGATAGATATGCTTTTCAAACAACTTTTCTGTGTGCCTGTAAAAAAGGTTACCTTAGTCGGAAGTAATAGTGAAAAGATTAAGGTTAAATCCTTTGGACTTCCTTCCTTTGATGACTTCCAGAATTTGCCTTTAAAGGACATCGAGTTCTTTAGCACTGGACAGCTATTTACAATTACTAATTGAATGGCATTTCTAGCACAGATGTGTACACACAGAAAAATGTGGGCTACAGTAGAACAGACCCATTTTTTAAAGTGGTTATATCTGTATTACATAAACCTTCTTAAGGACAGAGCAAAATAAAGGGAGCCTATCAGGACAGAGGACAGAAGCTGCTTATGACTGAGGGAGGGGATCCCATGAGAGAGCTGTTGTGTTGCATGAGGAAATCTGCCTTGGTTACTGGACAGGCCCAGCTCTCTGACTTTGTTATTTAAGATCTTTTTTCTTCCCAGGCTGTCTTTCTCTGAAGAAATAAAAATAGAAGAATATCATCTTTTCATTTGAAATTAAGATGTCAGGCTGTTTTTCCTATATGAACACACCTTCTCTTTTACTAAATAAATATACAAGGAAAATATGAAATTTCACTTAATGGTGACTTTTAAAGAATGCATGTATTTTATACATACCTCAATTTAACAATTCTCAATTAGTATAAAGGTTAGGACTTCAATGAAAAAACAACATGATTATTCATCACTATCAATTATTCATGGCACATAAAAATATTCCCCCAAATATATTTATCAGCATTGATAAGCACTACCAATACAGAGCACAGTTCAGGTCCTGAAATGAATGGTGTAAAAAGAACCAACAATAGGCCTTTTAGTAATCAATTGTTTTTTATGTCTTAATATCCACCAAATGCCATCTTATTAAAATGTGGAAGGTTGCTGTTTAAGCTGTTCCAATCTTTGCAGAGTGCTGCGGTTCCAGCCCTCCATGGCCAATTTTTCCCCTTTACAGTTCATGCTTCATGCGTGACTATGCAAGCTCAGATGGCAATAATTAAGCCTCATGTCAGGAAAAAATTCTAACCTCTCCCCAAGAAAGTTGTAAGTATATTATTCCAAAGCAAATGAAACTGAGTTCAGTGGAGTTTTATCTTCTTTAAAAGATAACATTAAGGTCTCCACCAGTGGCAACGTAAGAGATCACGCCAACTAGTGAAAGGAAGAGAGAAGCTGAAGACGGAAACATTTGTATCATGGGAGAGATCCGGCTGAAAAAGTGGAAAAAAGGAATTTTTTTTTCATGTGCAAAATAGTACATGAGTCTATGAACATTCTGTTTAATGACGTATGTGTACCCCAGACTGACCATAATGCACAAAAACAATTTTCACATTAAGGAGACAGAAACAAAGGCAGCATATGAATGGCTGACAGCCATAAAAAGGATGCTAAAAAAACCCACAAGTACATTTTCTAATTTGCTCTGGAAACATTATGTGCAGAAACGTATTTTAGAGTCATTTTGATGTAATATGTTGCAATTTGTGTTTATTTGTTATGAGCTTAATGCAAATAAATCCTTCACACTGGATTATAGTCTTACCAATCCATCATTTCTCAACTAGTAACAAAATATAAATTAAATTCTGTCATATTAGCAACATAGATATTTTTTATTATGCATGTGAGTTTTAATTTAACCAGCCAAAGAAACAACTATTGGAACTGCCTTAATAATTACATTACTCTGTGGCACACTAATTCACCACATGAAAAGCTAATTCCAGATAAAACACAACAGAAGTCAACATTTGATAACTAGATGAAAGCTACATGAAATTTAATGTTTTCTGGACATAAACCCCCAAAATTATACTAGATGATTTTCAAAAAAAATTAAGACATAATTTCTAAGGTTAATTTGTCTTAGTGTTAGCATGGTAAGAATAACCCAGAAACCCACCTCAGTGTGTCTTTGATGTAATGCATTATATTCCTTCTTCAATTCTGCTTCTCTTTCTTCAAGTCTGCTAACTGAAATTAAGATACATACACTTAATCAAAATGAAATATAAAAGAGATTTACTTAAAAATTCACCTTTAAAACTTGAATGGGTTATCCATAATCTTTAGCAACTTTACGATTCAGTGTTCCATTTCAAATTATTTGAAAGCTAGTAACCTTACTTCATCATCCTTAATAAACTTTCAGAGGGGGATAAACTGGATTTAAAAAAACAACTACCCATCAGATTGCTTCTAATATGCATATGTTTAACAGGTCATACCCCTATATAGGTTTTTAACATGATACATAATTCTCTTTCAGAAACACTTTAAAATTCACCTCTATTCTATAAATCACAGAAGCTTTATCCTGGGCTTAGGCTCAAATCACTGATTTCTATAGCTCTTTTTCATTTCTGAGCAGTATGTGAAAGTCAATCCCATTGTTTAAAAGTACTTTTTTTGCTTCAGGTCTTACTTTCAGGGACTGATCTTCTTTTATTTGGCTCCCTCTGCTGATGGGAGTTTGTGAGTGGCACTGATTTGGGATAGTGCTCATAGTACAACTTCACACACAC